TACTTTCACTCAATGGCTATACCATCAACACACCTTTTTAAAGCATCTATTAATGCTGATGCTCACAGTTCTGGGCCTAGCATGGTGCGCTCAAGTGTTATAAGATCAACTAATCTGCAAAAGCAGCATTCTCACAATGTTTCTGTGGAAAAACCAGTCTCTTAAAAGTAAAAAGGGTTCCTTGGCCAAACTGGTTTGCAAAACTCTGAATACTGTGACTTATTATAAAGATATCCTCACTTGCACACAGTAAATTAGATGGTCTGAAGAAGTCCTGAAATAAAGAACCCTGTTTACCTTAGTTTAACCAATGTTTGCCAAGCTACCTGACCACAAAACTCTTAAATAACACTAGTAACCTGCAAAACTACCATTCCAAGTGTTGCACACAACTTAAAAATGCTGCCTTGAGGTATTGTAGTTCAGGGTTCTTTGGATGGAGCTGAGAATCCATGAAAAGATAAAGTCAGGACGGGCACATTGGCTAGCACTTGGGAGGCCAACGCAGGAGGATCGCTTGAGGCCATGAGTTTGAGATCAGCCTGAGCAAGTGCAAGAGATCCTGTCTCTATAAAAAACAGAAAAATTGACCAGTGTGGTCGCATGTGCCTGTCGTCCCAGCTACTCTCCTGGAAGGCTGAGGCAGGAGGATCGCTTGAGCCCAGGAATTGGAGGTTACAGAGCTATGATGATGCCACTGCACTGTAGTCTGGGCGACAGAGTGAAACTCTGTCTTAAAAAAAAAAAAAAGAAAAAGAAAAGAAGAAAATGTAGTCAAATGAGCCAACCTCACACTCCAATGCTTAAATTCCTTTGCTCAACCAGGTTGGGTAGTAAAGGAATAAAGTCCAAATCCTATCTCCTCCATAGTAAAAATAGCAAGTGCTCATCATTAGCTTTGTTGTCAGGCACTATTCTAAGCATATAACATATTTAACTCTCATAATAATAGTATCTACATGATATTTAGCCATCCCTTCTTACCCAATTTACAGACGAGGAAACTGAAGCACAAAAGATAAGAAGTAACTTGCCAGGGCCACCGGTAGCAAAGAGTAGAGTGGGCATTTGAAAGAAAACAGTCTGTCTCCTAAGTCTGGTGTGCTGATCCAAGAAGCCCTCCCTACCACAACAAGCCCCATGGCCTGTCTTGGAGTAGACAGTTGGCACTGTCTTCAAACACTGTCCTTCGTAGGTGATTAGTGAGTAGCACCAAGCCAGCCCACTGCCCATTGTGCACACTGCCTGGCCCGTCAAGTTCAGGAGCACACCTCATATCCAAATGGGAAAGAGAGGCACAGAGGGGACCAAAGTCAGCCCTGCTTTGCTCTCGGCCCACCCCGCTGCAAGGGTGTGGATACAGATTTAGTAGCTGAACACCACCTGATGGCCTGTCCACTAGCCACGTGAGGGGCGCTCCTTTCCTTCGTCTGGGACTGGTGGGGATGTGGAAAGAATGAGCCATTTTCTCAATAAAGTTAATATACCCAAGCCAAAAAGAGAAAATGTCCAGTAAAACCATGTCTTTCAAAAGTAATAAAGAGAGGAAATTCCTGCATTAAAGATGTGGCAGTTCATCACAATTACCGAAAGAAAAAAGTCATCTCTCAAAGGTGTTATGAGAAAGGCACATTTGCAATAAAAGCTTAGGGGAGAAAATAAATAGGATTACTCAGACAAAGTTTGCTCAAAGATGCAGTGTTATAATTGGTTACCAAATGCATACACTCTAAAATTTTGGCAAAAATATTAAAAAGCACTCAGATCCTTCCATGACTTAAATAATTTTAAAAATGCTTAAGTGCAATTGTAGACGATTTCATTTCTTTAAAACTTAAAGATTTAACATTCCAAAATTAAAAACCTTCAAAAAAACAGGGCCCTTACACAATTTTTATTCTTCTGAAGGTGATCTTAAGCAAAAGCAAAATTTCAGCACTGGAGCAGAGGAATAAGACCCTGGACGCCTTTTGGTCAAGACAGGCCTGGAGGTGCTGTGGAGCCAGGTGGCCCTCCTGAGCCACAGCCTTGACTCCTCTAAACCTCAGCTTTCTTCAAGTATGACATAGGAAGCCAGGTGTGGTGGCCCATGCTGGCAGTCCCAGTTATCTAGAGGCTGAGCGGGAGGATCACTTGAGCTCAGAAAGGCTGCAGTGAGCCATGATGGTGCCACTCACTCCAGCCTGGGGCACAGAGCGAGATCCCGTCTCCCTCTAAAAAAGAAGTAAAATGCGGGACTCCAATATCTACTATAAGATTAAAAGAAAAACTCCTCACAGTCCTCTAAAATGGTCATTCCCTTCAATGGGGCAATAGGTTTATTAAATCAGCTGTAGACAGTGTGGTTAAGAGAAACAATGATAACTCTAGTTCCCTTTCAACTGCCTCCTACCCTCCTTATCTTTTTTCCTTCCTAACTCTCCAGGACTAAGGCAGCGGATTCTAAAAGTTGACTTCAAATTACGGTCGGTAGTTCCTTATTTCACTAATACCATGTTTCCTCAAACTTATATCTTATATTTTCCTCAAGAAGACAAACCTAGCGCGCTTAATTTTCAGGGATGTGTTATTTTTTTTAAATACCGCTACAACAATCATACATTTATTCAAATATCAGTTAAGTCGTCTTCTTCTGGACATCATCATAACTCTCAAACCCCGAATTCCATCCAGAATTTCTTGCACTCTATTCATCCCTTAGAAGCATTGGCGCCCATCTCTCATGTCGCAAAGAGCTTCTCATGGGGCCAGATGAAAGGGCTGCTCATCTTCTTTACAGCTTGGTGGACGAAAATGCACTGGGTTTGCAGACATGCTGTGTAGCCACGCCCATCACTAGGTCTTATTTTCGGGTAGGGCTATATTGTGCACACAAATTGGCTGTAGAAATCCTGCTAGGCTTTTTTATGGGTAGGTCTTATTTTCGGGGGAAGCACAGTTAAAGCGGCGACTATGTTCTAAAGTGAGGAAAAGGATGCTCATTAAACCTTTTGGGAAGGATAGGGCAACAGCTGGTTGGTCTCCTGCTTTAACCCAGATTTCTCCATCTTGGCACTATTGACAACTTAAACATTGGATAATTCTTTGTTGTGGGGGCTATCCTGGGCATAGGTAGGGTGTTTGGCCACTTATCCACCTCTACCACACTAGATGCCAGTGTGTGTACAGCCAAAAAGAACACATAGGCCCATTGCCCAGAATGTCCCAAAAGCAAAATCACACCCTGGTTAGAACTCAAAAGGTTTTTTTAAGACCTTAGCCTGGAAACCTGAATTGTTTTCTCCTGGCTAAATTGAAAAGAACGGAAAATCTTAAAATAGAGAATTTCAAATACTCGTGTAGATCCAGCTCGCTTCCATCTATACTGCCAGCATAGCGGCAGACTTATTAAATTAAAGTGCTTGTATGTCTTTAATGAGGTAGGTGGCCAAACTCAAAGCTTCAAGTTCCTCTCCTGGCCAGTTATAGAATGGTATTGCAAAAAAAAAAAAGATGAGCTAGGTTGTATCCAGATAAATTGACAATATTTTATTTTGAGGAAGGGAAAACTGATAAGACATTCCACTATGGCCCAGGCGTCTCAACTTCGGCCCTCAAGTATTCGGCTTCCAAATTGCTGTGAAATTATAGACATGGAGCCCACCCCACCCATCTGGAGACGCTACTTTTTGCCTCAGTTTGCTATATGTATAAAACTTGCTCTAAGAAAGTCTACTCATGTTTTAAAAGTATAGATCTGGAAAAGCGGAGGTCAGAGAAAGAGAGGAATCATCTCTGTAAATATTTGTAACATAACGTACCCTTCTTGTGTCAAATAATGCAAAATCAAAATGAGAAGATTTTTTCGTCGTGCTTCTATTCTCATCTCGCACTGTGAACAAAGAGGAAAATTTAGATAGGGTGACAATGAGAAATAAATAACACTGCTTTTATAGCAATAAACCCTTCAAAGTAAATGTAACCTGTCAAAACCAAGCAGCATGACTTAGAGGCTGGAAAGCAGTTTCAAGTCTCTCAGGATATATAAAGTTGTTTTCCATTGTTATTTTCTTCTTAAAGCTGCCTTCTCCATTGTAAACTTCAGGGACAATGATTTGAACTAGGACCACACTTTATTAGTTGCACCTGTTATTGCCAAGCCACTTGGCCTTTTACTGCTTATTACCATGAAGAAACAAATACACACCCTCTTAGTATTTGGACCAGGTTAAGGAAAGTGATTAGGAAAAGATAATCAGCTGTCAGCCAGAAATCAGCTGTGCCAACACAGGCACTTACCTGCTACTGTAGCTGTAACCCACTCAGAGTCCCACCCAGTCCCTGTACGAACGCAGAGCTGGGTTCCCATAAACCATTCAGGGGTGACTGCACAGCCGAGCGTTTGGAATAGCCACTGAGAACAGTGGCCATAAAACAACAGTCCCTGCATAAGAAGGTCCTTATTCAAGCTGGATGAATCTGTGCATTTACTCACAGTGTTAATGTGCTACATGTAGGAATCTGGTATCTCAAATTCCCCCACAATGTAGTCACAAAATACTCATGGTCCATAATACTTTCCTTATTTGAAAATAACTTACACATCTTTATGTAAGAACAACACAGGTAAGAACCAGATAAAGGAAATAAGAGCCCTGTGGGGCCCAAATGATGTCATAAAATCTAGGCACAAACACTTATATTTATGACACACAAGAACACTTTTCAGTCACTCGTCCAGAGGTTTCTGAAAATTAATGTTGTAATAAAAATTAAAACATCCATATACTTACTTAAAAATCAAATATAACTATATATTTTTCCTTTTTAAGTTGCTTTTGATCATGGAAAATATATAATACATAACGTAAAATTTACCATTTTAACCATTTTTAAGCGTGTACTTCTGTGTCATTAAGCACATTCACATTGCAGGACAACCATCACTTCCAGCTGTCCCCAGAACTTTTTCGTCTTCCCCAACTGAAACTTTGTCCCCTAATGGGTCACTAAATCTGAATTTGTTCTGCCCTTAGCCCCTGGCAGCCACCTTTCTACTTCCTGTCTCTAAGAATTTGCCTATTCTAGGTCCCTGCTGTAAGTAGAACCATACAGGATTTGTCCTTTTGTGACGGGCTCATTTCACTTAGCACAATGTCTTCAAGATTCCTCCATGTGGTAGCATGTGTCCAAATTTCCTTCTCTTTTAAGGCTGAAAATAGTGATATAATATAATATACTATCAAATGTTAAAGAAAACCAATATTCTTCTGCCCCCATTCTACTACCCCAACCCTGAGTCTCACTCCCTTAGAGTCAACAACCTTAATTATTAATATTTTAGCTGGTTCTTCTGATATTTACGTCCATGTTTCTAAATAGCATAGCACTGTTTCATGACACATGCATGTTAGGCATTATTCACTTCCTGTTAAGGCAGATGAGCATTAAGCTGTCCTATACCCTCTTCACCCTATCCTCCCCTTACAGTTAGATCAATATTCATTGATTATATTACTAGGACCATGTAAATGTTCACTACTGAGTCAAAAAGTATTGCAGTTACTTTTCCATTTCTGTATAACATTATTTTTCCTGGAATGAATGATTATCTCACTTTTATGAGGTTACTTTTCAACACACTTATTGCTAGTTATCAAACACCAACACATCTCGTATCACTTCTCACACCATCAAATACGTTATGCTTGTATGCTTTTAATGAGGTAGGTGGCCAAACTCAAAGCTTCCAAGTTCCTCTCCTGGCAGTTATAGAATGGTATTGCAGAAAAAAAAAAGAGTTGGGGCGTAGGTTGTCCAGATAAATAACATTTTTTTTATTTTGAGGAAAGGAAAACTGATAAGACATTATCACTATGTTCGCCAGGCTGTCTCAAACTTCTGGCCTCAAGTATTCGGCTTCCAAAGTGCTGGAATTAAGACATGAGCCACCCACCCATCTGGAACGCTACTTTTTGCTCAGTTTTTCTATATGTATAAAACTGCTCTAAAAATCTACTCATTGTTTTTTTAAAAAGTACTAAGCATATAACATATTTAACTCTCATAATAATAGTATCTACATGATATTTAGCCATCCCTTCTTACCCAATTTTACAGACGAGGAAACTGAAGCACAAAGATAAGAAGTAACTTGTCCAGGGCCACCGGTTAGCAAAGAGTAGAGTGGGCATTTGAAAGAAAACAGTCTGTCTCCTAAGTCTGTGTGCTGATCCAAGAAGCCCTCCCTACCACAACAAGCCCCACGGCCCTGTTGTGGAGTAGACCATTGGCACTGTCTCATACACTGTCCTTCGTAGGTGATTAGTGAGTAGCACCAAGCAGCCCACTGCCCATGTGCACACTGCCTGGCTCGTCAAGTTCAGGAGCAACCTCATATTCCAAATGGGGAAAGAGAGGCACAGAGGGGACCAAAGTCAGCCCTGCTTGTGCTCTCGGTCCCACCCCGCTGCAAGGGTGTGGATACAGATTTAGTAGCTGAACACCACCTGATGGCCTGTCCACTAGCCACGTGAGGGGGCGCTCCTTTCCTTCGTCTGGGACTGGTGGGGATGTGGAAAGAATGAGCCATTTTCTCAATAAAGTTTATATACCCAACGCCAAAAAGAGAAATGTCCAGTAAAACCATGTCTTTCAAAGTAAGTAAAGAGAGGAAATTTCCTGCATTAAAGATGTGGCAGTTCATCACAATTACCGGAAGAAAAAAAGTCATTCTCAAAAGGTGTTATGAGAAAGGCCACATTTTGCAATTAACAAGCTTCAGGGGAGAAAATAAATAGGATTACTCAGCAACAAAGTTTGCTCAAAGATGCAGTGTTATAATTGGTTACCAAATGCATACATCTAAAATTTTGGCAAAAATATTAAAAAGCACCTCAGATCCTTCCATGACTTAAATAATTTTTAAAATGCTTAAGTGCAATTGTAGAGATTTCATTTTCTTTAAAAGACTTTAAGAAGATTAACATTCCAAAAATAAAAACCTTCAAAAAAACATGGCCCTTACACATTTTTATTCTTCTGAGGTGATCTTAAGCAAAAGCAAAATTTCAGCACTGGAGCAGAGGAATAAGGACCCTGGACGCCTTTTGGGTCAAGACAGGCCTGGAGGGTGCTACCACTTGGAGCCAGGTGGCCTCCTGAGCCACAGTCCTTGACTCCTCTAAACCTCAGTTTCTTCAAGTATGACATAGGAAGCCAGGTGTGGTGGCCCATGCTGGTAGCCCCAGTTATCTAGAGGCTGAGGCGGGAGGATCACTTGAGCTCAGAAGGCTGCAGTGAGCCATGATGGTGCCACTGCACTCCAGCCTGGGTGACAGAGCGAGATCCCGTCTCCTCTAAAAAAAGAAGTAAAATGGGGACTCCAATATCTACTATAAGATTTAAAAGAAAAACTCCTCACAGTCTCTAAAATGGTCATTCCCTTCAATGGGGCAATAGGTTTATTTAAATCAGCTGTAGACAGTGTGGTTAAGAGAAACAATGATAAACTCTCAGTTCCCTTTCAACTGCCTCCTACCCTCCTTATCTTTTTCCTTCCTAACTCTCCAGGACTAAGGCAGCTGGATTCTAAAAGTTGACTTCAAATTACGGTCGGTAGTTCCCTTATTTCACTAATACCATGTTTCCTCAAATATAAGACAAGGTCTTATATTTATTTTTCCTCAAGAAGACAACCTAGGGCTTATTTTCAGGGGATGTGTTATTTTTTTTTTAAATACGCTACAACAATCTACATTTATTCAAATATAGTTAAGTCGTCTTCTTCTGGAACATCATCATAACTCTCCAAACCCCGAATTCCATCCAGAATTTCTTGCAACTCTATTTCCTTTAGAGCCATTGGCCCCAATCTCTCATGTCGAGCAATAGAGCTCTCATGGGGCAGATGACAAGGGCTGCTCATCTTCTTTACAGCTTGGTGACGAAATGCATGGGTTGTGCAGACATGCTGTGTAGCCACGCCCATCACTAGGTCTTATTTTCGGGGTAGGGCTTATATTGCACAAATGCTTAGAAATCCTGCTAGGGCTTATTTTATGGGTAGGTCTTATTTTCGGGGAAACACAGTAAGCGACTATGTTTAATGGAGGAAAAGATGCTCATTAAACCTTTTGGGAAGATAGCAACAGCTGGTTGGTTCTTCCTGCTTTAACCCCAGATTTCTCCATCTTGGCACTATTGACACTTAAAATTGGATAATTCTTTGTTGTGGGGGCTATCTTGGGCATAGTAGGGTGTTTGGCACTATCCCTAGCCTCTACCAACTAGATGCCAGTGTGTGACAGCCAAAAAGAACTCTAGGCATTGCCAAATGTCCCCCAAAAGCAAAATCTACCCTGGTTGAGAACTCAAAAAGTTTTTTTAAGACCTTAGCCTGAAACCTGAATGTTTTCTTCCTGGCTAAAATTTGAAAAGAAAGGAAAATCTAAAATAGAGAATGTCAAATACTCTGTGGATCAGCTCGCTTCCACTCATACTGCCCAGCATAGCAGCAGACTTATTAATATTATAAGTGCTTGTATGCTTTTAATGAGGTAGGTGGCCAAACTCAAAGGCTTCCAAGTTTCCTCTCCTGGCCAGTTATAGAATGGGTATTGCACGAAAAAAAAAAAGAGTTGGGCATAGGTTGTCCAGATAAATACAATATTTTTATTTTGAGGAAAGGAAAACTGATAAGACATTTATCACTATGTTGCCCAGGCTGGTCTCAAACTTCTGGCCTCAAGTATTCGGCTTCCCAAAGTGCTGGAATTATAGACATGAGCCACCCCACCCATCTGGAACGCTACTTTTTGCTCAGTTTTTCTATATGTATAAAACTGCTCTAAGAAAGTCTACTCATTGTTTTTTTAAAAGTATAGATCTG